ACCTTCAGCATCTTCATTGCTTCCCCCTCTCTCTCTCTCTCTCTCTCTCTCTCTCTCTCTCTCTCTCTCTCGATCTATCTATCTATCACTGTCACTCTCTCGTTCTCTTCTTCTGTACGTCTCTCTCTCTCTATCTATTCTCTGTCTCTATTTCTTTTTCTACCTGTCTCTCGCTCTCTCTCCCTCTGTGACTCTCTCTCTCTTCCTCTCCCTCACCATCTCTTCCCCATCACATCCCCGTCTTCTCGATCTTTTCATCCCGACGCCAATCGTTTTCCTCGTTCTTCCCCATTCATCGTTAATTAATCGATTTCCTCGTTATCGCGACACACAGACAAGCAGCAGGAGCCCGTCGACCCGCTGAGTCGGACCGGTCGCCTGTTCGGCGGCATGATAAACGACATGCGGCATCGTTACCCGCAGTACAAGAGCGACGTGGTGGATGCAATTAACGCGCAGTGTATCGCCACGACCATCTTCATCTTCTTCGCCTGCCTCTCACCGGCGATCACGTTCGGTACCATCCTCGGTGGGTCTCTCACACGTTAATTACTGATGCGTTACTGATGTACTGTATGTTATATATATTTGTGCGTGTGCGTGCGTGCGTGCGTGCATGTGTGTGTATGTATATCTTTCTATCTATGTATCTATCTGTCTTTCTATCTATCTATCTATCTATCTCTTATTCTCAGCTTGTAATGAAAATATACCATAATAATTCATAGTAAACATGACAATAAGATGATATAATGATGTGATTATATAACTACATGTATTTGATTAATAACTTATAAAGTAGTATTACTGATCACTGACACGTGACCGGTCTTTCTACTGATCTCTGACTGTGTGTTGTTGTGTAGGTGAGGAGACCTGAACAGTGGATGAGTGTGACAGAGTTTCTGTTATATTATTATTATGTATAATTATATGGTAGTATTACCAATCATTGACTGTGCAGAGTTGCGTAGTATTATTACGTGTGCGTATTATTTGATTAGTAATTAATGTGGTAGTATTACTGCAGATCTCCATGGTTGTAGCATAGGTGAGGAGACTGAGTAGTGGATGGGAGTCACAGAGTTTCTGTTATATAATTATTTGATTAGTAATTTATACGGTAATATTTCTTCATCATCATTGACTGTGTGTTGTTGTGTAGGTGAGGAGACTGAACAGTGGATGGGAGTCACAGAGTTTCTGTTATATAATTATTTGATT